ATCTGAAAAACAGGAAAATCACCAGTGGGATTAATCAAAGAGACAAAGAAACTTTCACTGTGGGTAGGACACAGGAGCACAAATGAACTTCCGATTCGAATCAGTTCCAGAACAATCGTTTGTCAACGTAACTCCTCATGCACTTCCTCAGGGTGGAACAGCCCACAAGGTCCTGCTGCAGCAGGGAGAGGAGTTGTTAGATCATTACTATCACTGCCACCAAGTGATGCCATTTATAGAGCAGCCACGTGATGGGCCATGTGCAGAACCATGTGGGAGTTATCTGGCTTTGAGTGTCCCAGGGCTTAGAGGAAATGCCCCAACTCATTGACTTAAGAGCTCTGAGAGGAAGTGCCCCAACGTACTGATTCAATAGCTGAGGAAATGAGTGAGGAAATGCTGACTTACTGACTCTGGATGTGGGTGGGAGGTGTTCAGCTCTCTCGTCCTCCTCGTTGATGCGCTGCCAGCGGTAGGAGATGGGGGCAGTGCCCGAGGCTGAGCGGCACTGCAGGGACAGCTCCTTCCCCTCCAGCATCTCCCCTTCCAGCCAGCATTTGGGCTTGGAAGGTTTTTCTAGGAGAAGCAGAAGACAGGTCACCGAACACAGCAAGCTCAGTGGCAATCCTTTCTTTGGCAAGGTATTCCAGGAGCTGCCTTGTCTGGAATGCGTGAAGGAATCACACCAGGGATGTTTGTTAGGGAACTTCATGTGCAGCTTCACAGTCTAAGAGTGAATGTGGCTGGGTTAGCCATTATAACACTCTGTGGCAGTTTGTCTCATGGTTACTTGCATCACTGGAGCTCTGTCATCACATTCCTCCTCTGGGCACTGTTTAGAGAATATTCTTTCCCTCCCTCTACTTCTCCATTTCTTCCTTCTCCCCAGAGTATCTGGCAGGACACAGCACATGGTCCATGGGATCACAGTGTATGTGGCAAAGCCAATGAATGATCTGGAATCAGGGAAGGGAAAGGCTAACCCTGGCAGCTTATTTGTCACCACCACTGACTTGGATCAGGTTGGGGTCCTGGGCCATGAACTCACAGCAGGAGATCTGGACAGGATGATCAGCAGCTAAGCTAGAGTATCAGTCGAGTTTGGGTGATGAGATCATAGAGATAATTTGGAAAGCACAGCATAATTTTGCAGATAACCATACTCACTCACCTCCAAGCAGCTCTCTGGGCTCTTCCTGTGCCCTGTCCTTTGCCAACAAATGCAAAGGCAAATATGGAGCTGGACAGTGAAACCTGATCATGAGGTGTCTTTGTGTATTTATATAAATGCAAAGGCAGATATGGAGCTGGACAGTGAAACCCGATCATGAGGTGTCTTTGTGTATTTATACCCTGCTGAAATAAATCTCTCTCCAGGAAGTGAGTGTAGGGATATTTTTTTCCCTGCGAAGAACAATAAACTGTCCTTACCTACCACCTTGAGGGTGATGCGAGCCCACTCATACTGCCCAGCATTCTTCACCTTGCAGATGTACTTCCCTGCATCACTGGACTGCAGGGATATGATCTGTAAGGATGCATCTCCAGCAAGGAAATTGGATGTGAAGGACACACGGCCCTTCTGCTCCTCATTCAGGTCATCATAGACACGACCTCCGGAGTAGGTGATCACCTGGGGGGCAGAGACAGGCACTGAACTGCCACTTGGCACTTCACTTTTACAGGGAATCACAAACCAAAGTGTTTCCAGGCCTTGCAGACCAAGTTCTGCATGGTTAGTGACTTGCCAAGGGTCACACTGTGGCAGGGTGGAGAATTAAACCTGGATTTCTAGTCTGAGAGTGATACATAAAGTGTATTTATGGTAGAGATTTATATTGGAGCATTTCTAGAAGTGCCAAAATAGACATCAGCTTATGTCACAACATACAAAAGCAGCTTGTAGTTCTGGCTCAGCTAATTTAAGTTACTGCAGACCTAATTTTTATAAGTACTAAGCTACTACATTTTTTTCTTTTTTTCCCTGAAACTAAGGATTCAAAAATTTGGCCTACAAAGGCATCTTTGAAAACCCAAAGGGCACTTCTTAACACCCAATGATAACTGATTGCACTTAAAGCAAACCCAACTGTAACACAACCTGCTCCAACACAGCACGTGTGACTATCAAATACCTTCCCTGCGTCACAAACCTCTCTCAATCAGCTGTGTTGTCTCAACACTGCTTAGGCCATCAGGGTAACTTGCAGAGATCATCACAGAAGTGTGGCTGAATCGATGTCTATGCAGGAAGAGGAGCATTTCCTCAGCAAACCTACCGCTTTCTGCACGGTCTCGGAGATGTGCAGCAGCCACTCGATGTCGAGGCTGCTCTGCTCCAGCAGCCCTAGGCGGTGGTGGCACGGCAGTGTCACGTTCTCCTCAGCCACCCTCTTGAACTCAGTCTGAGCCTCAGCCAGCCAAATGGAACAGGAGGCTGAAAGACAGACACCCAACAGTCAGAGGCTGCACCTCGTCACGGCCCCAAGCCTGACACAGCTCCAGGAGTGTTTGGACAACACTCTCAGGCACAGGGTGGGAAGGATTGTTGGGCATGTCCATGTGTTGGTCCAGATGATCTTCAACAGCCCCTTCCAGCTCTGTATTCTGTGATCTCTGCCCTAAAGAGTTTTGCTAGATTCTTCCTCGTTTGCTCACAGCATCCAAGAAGGGATGATCCCTCAGGACCTGAATAACTTAATCGGCTGGATATTACAAAAAGGTTTCATAGTATGTTAAGGGGTTGGAATGAAGCTTAGAGATCATTCAGCCCCAACCCCCTGGCCTGGGCAGGGACACCTCCCACCAGAGCAGGTTGCTCAAGGCTCATCCAACCTGGAATGAACACTGCCAGGTTTGGGGCAGCCACAACCTCCCTGGGCAACCTGTGCCAGTGTCTCACCACCCTCACAGGAAAATCTTCTGCCCAATAACTAACCAAAATTTCCCTCTTTCAATTTCTCCCCATTACTCCTTGTCCTGTCACTGCAGTTACTAAAACAGAGTCTCTCCAGCTTCCCTGGAGCCTCTTCAGAGGGTGTTTGGGCACTGGAACAGATTTAGGTTGGATATCTTAGGACAAGGTTCTTCCCCCAGGGTTGTTTGGGCACTGAACAGCTCCCCAGGGCAGTGGGCACAGCCCCAAGGCTGACAGAGCTCAAGGAGTGTTTGGCCAATGCTTTCAGGCACTTTGTGGAATTATTGGGGTGTCTTGTGCAGGGACAGGAGTTGGACTCAATGATCCTTGTGGGTCCTTTCCAGCTCTGTATATTCCATGATTCCATGCAAACCCAACAGCTTATCTTCCTGGGCAGATTGCAGCTGATTCAAGGAGGCATCTATACATACACAGGCAGTTTCACACTAATATTTAAGCACCAAGAACAGATGGTTTCACCCTCCAGAGCTGTCGATAATGAAGTCACACCCACATCCCCTGTGTGCTCAAAATTCCAGATAACCTCCTCAAGCTTTGCCTTCACTTCTTCTTCACCTTAACTCAGAAGCACTATTTCCACCCAGAAATCCTACAGAGCCCATCCCTTTATCCCTAGGTCAGTCTGACAAGTCTTGGAGTGTCTTCCCTAACACTAAATGATAAATCAGCACTGGAAATAAGAGATCAGCCTGGGAAGAAAAAGGTTAACCTTAGGAAAAGCGTAGTACAAATAGGGTAGGAAAGTGTCTTTGAATAGAAACGTTAAAAAAATATCATAAATTGTCAAAAACCGGTTTGTCAGGATTTAAAAAGGAAATAAAAAGGGAAGGAAAATGCCAGGCGAACCCACTAGAGGGAAGCAGAGCCCTTGAAATGTTAGCCAAAAGACCCAGAAACGTGTTCCCTCCCCAAAACGTGGCCCAGGAGATGATGTGACACAGGAAAATATGATGTTCAGCCAGAACTGTGTTAGGTACTGTCTGGTCGAGTTTCTATACCTCATCCCTGCTAAAACTGCACAAAATCAGGGATCGATATTTGGCTTTGCCCATCTCCAGCTTTGGATAGCCCATGGACTCACTGTAATAAATAAAAACTCAATTAAAACTGACCCAAAAGATGGGAGAGATGGAAAGTTTAGGGCACTATGGATGTTCCAGGTGTGCTCAGACACCAAATGTTCCAACCAGGTCTCCATGGGGTTTCCTGGGGTGCAAATTCCATCTGTCTTTTGGGTTCGAATCCTCTGAGTGCCGTTGGGTAGTTCAGTTTTACTGTTCCAGATGAAATCCTAAACCCATTTTTTTCCCTCCTGTGAACTGAGCTGAAATATATTGCTTCTTGGGCCAGTTATTGTGAAACTGATTCAAACTGGGAGAGTTAGGAGCACTAGGAAGTCCCAATGTGTGACTGAACACACCATCCTGGGATCAAACAGCAGGAGCATAAGAAGTTGTAGCTGCATAGGTTGAATTTGTTCCTAAATTTGTGTTTAAACAGTGGATCCTGAACCTTCTCTTTACTTTCAAGTGAAAAAGAGACAGGAAATGTTACATCAAGCATGACACTTCCTCAGCTCTTTTTATTTCTTCAGGACCAACCTTTAGAGTTCTGTTTCTGCTCCCATTCCCAGATCTACCTCTGTGTTGTTACCCTGAGCTCCTGAGCTTCTGCTATTTAAATGACACTCCCCAAACACTCTATAAACAGGTATCACCTACTGTGTGTATGCACCTACAGAAAACACCCAGAACATTAAGACAGGTGGAACCCTGCAAAGGATTCAGCTCTGCACTGATCTCAGCATCAATGGATGGCAGGGAAAGCTCCTTTCCAGCCACATTAGCTGCTTTCTTTAGAGGGCAAAGTAATCCAGTTTATCACTGGATTCGCTGCTCTGCCAAATACAATCACACACTGAGCCCTGAACGAGCTGCTCTTGCTTTCTCCTGCAGGCTGTCCTCATTAGCACTCATCAATAACCCTCATTTACTCACCACAAAAGGGACAATTCACCCAACATCTGCAGCATTTCCAAAGCCCTGTGCCAGCACTGAGGATTCCTGCATCCATTGCAGGGTATTCAGGTATAGTTTACGTAGGAAACCTTGATCAGGATTATAATTCACCTTCTGAGAGTATAACAAATATAATTTTCCTTCCTTTCTGGCTTGGACACAGTGGTTTTAGAAGAGCTCACACCTGATTGTTGCTGCTCCCAGCAAACACCTCTGGATTTGAGGAAGAGCCTTGTGTCTATAAACTCATCTTCTACATGGGAGCAGGATCAGGGAGACATCCAGTGAGATAGTGACTCCAATTTCTAACCCCCTCACTCTGTTTTTCCAAAGATTCCTGTGATCAGAAATAATTTAGAGCTGATTATTGAACCAATAACCAAACTCTGACACACTGTGTGTGCTTTCCTATATCATTACTAAAAGTCTAATTAAAACCCCCAACTTGTCTCTCAAAACCATATTAGTGCTTTAACAATGTCCACAAGCTCCCAAGGAAGTTTCAGTTTTAAGGTGTTCTAGACAGGACCCTTAACTTCATTTCCTTCCAGTCACCTGGACCTGTGTATGGTCAAAAAGAAGCTCAAACAGCTTCACAGCAGTACCCAACAGAGGTGCCAGTTAGAGAAATGACCCAAGAAAATCCCAAAGAGAGCCCAAACTGAATAAATGTCTTATTTTCAGTGGTCTGGGTAGGGTTTGGCTAGAACAAGCAGGGACAAAATGGAATTTTTAGATACATGCTGGAATTGATGATATAGGCCTTGGAGACAAAAAGGAGCTAGAAAGATATGCAGGTCCCTCCTAGGTTATTAAAAGTGGTTTAACATTCAGTGAAAAACAGATGCTCCCTGAATTTCTCTGTATTTGTGCAGATCAGACCTTGCAAGAACAGCTCAAACAAGTGAGCTCCTTTTAACCATTCTCCCCTCTCCCTGTCTGAAGCTCTGTTTCAATGACTCCTAGAGCAGAGTGTCAGCTCATGGGCAGCTCCTTCCAGCAGCAAACCCCTCCAGACACTGCCCAGGTCACACACATGGCATGGCAAAGGCACTTTTGGCCCTGCAAAGCCTTTTGCTCTGCTCCAGGGAGCCCAAGTGGCTCCACACCTTCCCCTGCAGAGCTCCAGAGCCACGGGAGGGCAGAGCCTGCTCAGTGCACAGAGCACAGACAATAGATGACTTCTCCAGAAATCAGATCCAAGAGTAATGCCACATCCATGCAGGCTCTGCAGTTCTTACCCCCAAACCCTTTTTTTCCCCTTCCACATCCTGTTGGCAACACTTTGTGCTGCAGAGAGTCATTGGGGAATCTTTTCTTTCAGCTTTCTCAGCCACTGTCCCACAGCTTCAGAAGGAGGTGGGATTGTTCTTCCTGCTTATTCCAACTGCAGCAGTTTGGAAGCATTGCCCATGGGCCTAAAAAAGCCTTGGGTGCAGTGCCAGGCTTGGTGCCACCCCACGGGCACTGCATGTTCTGTATTTGGGGAGGACACCAGTGCCAGGTTTGGCTGTTCAGTCCATTGTGCACGGGACAATAACTCACCAGACACCCTGCAGACTGGGGACAAAGGCTGTCTGAGCCCTCACTGATGTTTGAATCTCCAAGGAACACAGAGCAACAAAGACTTGAAGCAATCCCAGAGCTGGCACACCTAACCAGGCAGTGCCCACACAGCAGGAGCTCAGGTTTAGGGCACATAAAGGGGTTTTCAGCCCTCTCAGACCTTTCTGCCTTGCATGTGTAGCAGATTTAGGAGTTAAAAAACGTGGAGAACAGCCTACATATTTCTCATGCAAAGAGAAGTACTTCCCACAACTCATGTCAGCATTTTTCTACTGATTTTGAATGTGTGTTTTAAAGGAGTTTGAATTTCAGTCAGCCCTTGAATCTGGACATAGAGGGAAACATCCTGTGCAATGCAGCAAGTGCTGGGTAAACTGGGACTGTGTATTTGACCTTACCACAGGTTATCATCACCCAAAAGTAGTGTTTTCATGCCCAAATCCATGCCCTGATCACACATGAAACTCAGTTTATTTCCATGCCCAAGAACAAGTCTATGTACTTATACACACACACACATATACACCAACATCAAATATACATAGACAGACAAGCAGAATCCGAGTGAAAATAAATGTTTTGCTGACACTTGTATTTGTAGGCAAATTCTCATCCTTAAAAGCTAAAGAGCTTCCAGATTTAAATCTTTCAGTAGGTTCAGAAGGTTTGGATTAGGGAGCAATGCTAAAAATAGATTATACTTTTTAAAAAGTAATAAGTTGTGCTGTATCACTGAACTGCTGGAATTAGGAGGAACAGCCTAGAAAAGACTCAGGGAATCAAGATACAAGAAATCTATAATAATCCTTTGTTCACTTGGTCCAAACCAAACTCACTTAAGATATTAATATCCAAAATGCATCTTGAAACATTTTAGTTTCTTCAGGAAGTTTATTCTCTGAAGTTTAAACGGTG